TTATGGAATGTTTTGTGCCAAAAAATATATAACAATTAAATAGTAATGTGGTCTTTGTTCCTTTTCCTTTTTTATTCTTATGGATTGAGTACAGACCACTGCAAATATATTGCCGCAGCTTGCTCTTCCCATCGTGTCATTCATGGGGTAGAGGTTAGCGGCTTTGCCTATTGAGCAAAGGTCGCTGGTTCAACCTTCATTGATTCAAGTTTTTTTTTGTGGGTACGTTCTCCCGGTCTGCGAACTTATGTAAATACCAACCAATTACCATGTTTCTACCATGTCTCTGTAGGATATAACAGCCAGCTCTCAGGCTGAGAGAGCTTCTTGTTCTTCTACTGCAAACTGCAGGAGTTGTACATTGTCAGAGTTAATAAATACCTTTGTGTTCCTAACGACTGATTGCTGTTTGTTCCCGCGACAATATTATAAAGTGTGGAAATTCTGTAATGTCTGCTGCTCGAAGTTATTGACTGTTTAAAATTGAAGATATGCAAATTAAAATATCAAATGGAGGGAAGATATTTGTGTAAGTTTATAATTATCCTTTTCTATAATTAAAATCTTAATTGAGAAAGAAAATCAATTGAAAGTATTATAAGATATTAAATAAAATAGAACTTGAAAGAAACTTGAGGATTGCAGAAAAATATATAGATTTTATAAAAGTGTGATAGTGGTTTTTAACAAAAGAGGTATAGATAATCTTTCCTTTGTGCAAATGGTATACTAAGAAGACATTACAAGAAGGCATTTTTGGTGAACTTGTGCATCAACAGTAAGTGTACATTTGGACAGGTGTATTTCCAAATAAGAGAAGATAAGGAAAAAATCTGCCTGCATTTTTATAAGTGTGGACAGAGAGGAAGAGTCTCAAAGAAAGAAATCTATCTTGCATTCTTGAGGAGGCAGCATTTCTGCATTTCCTTGAATTGTCAAGTTTTTTTTTCTTTAGGAAGAGCTCTGTCATGTATGTCCAATGCAGCTGCAGCTTTAATTTCTCTAGGGCAAAACTATAATAATTGCAAATGTGTCTTAAAAATACTTTTTGTTTTTGTTTAAACAGATTCAAATTGTATAAATTAATATTTTAAATTTTAATGACAAAAGGAAATGTATTTAAGATTCTATTTCTTTCTTTTTTTGTCTTGGATTTTTATTTTTATTCTTATTCAAAATTCTACAAGAATCAAACACTACAGAGATTTTTAAAAGAAATTTTATATACTTTTGGTTTGGAAATAATCTAAAATAGATATAATTAAGCGATGGTTGAAGTCAATTTCTATATAAGAGGAAGACACATTTTGAGACTCAATGTTTTTTTTCCTATCTTTCCTTTCTTCAAGTTTAAAATATACACATATTTTAAACATATTTCCATTTTACATAAAATTTAAAATTTTTAAACAGTATTTAATATTATTGTAATAGCTTGTAAGTTTCATTTAACTTTTTATACCTTATGCATTGCCATTCTGATCACAATTTTCTTTCTGATGAACCATTTAAAATAAAATCCCATAATTTTTGAATCATAAGTTACAATTTTTGAAATATGATGAAAACAGACAAATCTTAAATTTTATAATATTTTCTTTTTCTACAATTAAAGCCAGAAGACATAAGCTTTATGGTATATTCATATAAATAAGATAAAAATTAAAGCATGCATGTGTGTAAGATGTTTACATTATTGAAAGAAAAATATAATTTGGTATCAAAGAAATTGGTCAAGGACTATATATGCTATATATGTTAATGATACATTATAAATATAAATAAATAAATAATTTTAATTTATTGGGTTAGTAGATAACCATATTTTATAAAGCAGTAACATTTACTCCCTTTCATATATGAAGAGAAGATCTGAATTAAATCAGTCATAAAAAAAAATATAGTCTTTCTTCCAGAATGACAGAGTTGTGTGAAATTTAAAAAGTTATTTACAATGTGTATCTCCGAAGATTTAATATATATATACATACATATANTGAAATATAAAAACCTTTTTAAAATGAATCAATAATCAGTTTATAATTTATTTCAAAAACTTCTCTACATAGAATTCATATGTTTTAAATTATCTCTTGATACATTGTTGTATAAAGATGAAGTCATTTGAAATAGTTAAACTAGCAAATTCAGATAAGATTATGCAATGAAGTCACATATCTCCAAAAATCAAGCTGGTTTAAAGTTCATTCTAAAATTAGCTGACTGAGTTGTGTGCAAAGACACCTATTATTATGGAAAAGGATTTTGAAAGAAAGTTGAATACATTTTTTTCTTGTGAGCTGTAAGCAAAATATTTTTAAATTATTCAAAAACTTAGTATTTTGGTTTCATGAAAATATTGCCTTGTGTATCTTTTTCATTCTTCTCAAGTTCTGTTTAGATAATTAATTTAACTTATCATTAAATTTGAAGTAGGAAAATTGTAATTGTAAGAAAATGAATATTATAATCATTATAGAAATTTGATATCACATACTTCTAGGTATGTTTTTTAGATATTACAACTCAAACAATTTATATTTATATAACTTATGTCATAATAGAAATCAAATTTATAAAGTATGAACATAATTTTCCTATTTTTATTGCAATTTTTTTTAAATTAATTAAAGATTAATATTATAAGCCAGATTGAAATATTTTTCTGTGTAATATATTTTTGTTCAGATATAACAGATATAAAGTTGATTTGAAATTAGATGCATATTATATGATAGGGCAGTTTATCTGCTGATTCTGTAATTTGCAATTTATTATATATTTAAACAACTTTTATTCAAAGTAATGAAGAGTATCTTTAAATAAGTAAAGAATCCTTTGCATGCTACAAACATATTTGCCATCCTTATCTCAAAATCATGTTTTCTCAAAATCATCAAGACTCATATGCATATGTCATACCTTTAGTCCTTTAATGCATGTATGTTTTTTATGTCAATCCACATCTTAATTGATGATAGAATATAGATAGGATGGGGTTTTTGACCAGGATGCCGCAACAATACTTTAGGATGCTGCACAGCACCCTGATATTTCTTACGTATTACTAAAAGCATGAGAAATGCTAACTCTACACTGATAAAAAAAAATAAGGGTGTCATAAGAAAAAAATTTACTAAGTTGGGGTGTCACTATTAGAAAAAGATTGATACTCCTATCATTGTTTTTCACATATCTCACAAAATAAGTTTTAATCTAGTAAAGCAATTATTGGCTGAAATATTGGAGGTATGACCTTGAAAACTGATAATTTCTGTTTATAAAATATCTCAGTTAATTACAGATATAATTTTTGTATTAATGACTTAATATCAGAAATATTTTCAAGTGATTTTATTCATATTTGAGGATGATTATACAATCAAATATTTTTCAATAACCACCAGAATATTCTTTGTACTTTATCCAGGTTACATGGAAAGTCTTGTTTTAATTATTATATGTAGGATGTTGTAAGAAAGTCTTGAAAGAATGCAATGGGAAAAATTTTTTTTTTTAAATAGAAAAAATGTTGATTTTAATTATCACCAAAGTTACAACAACTAAGAAATAATAAAGAAAATAATTTAATATGGCATTTCTCTTAAAATGAATAATTTTTAAAAATTCAAATATCATTTTTTCATTAAAATATTAATGCAAATAATAATAATGTTGTGACAGGATCTGTTTATTATTTATTTCAGAATGACCCTTATTTAAAAATAAATTCTGATAATATGATAACGAATCATCATATTTTTATATTCAGATATTTACATAAATTGGGAACACATCAAACAGCCAATAAGTGTATTGAAACTTTGATATGGATTTTAAAAAGTTGTTCTTTTAACACTTTATGATAACTGTAAATCTTTAATAGAGCAGTTTAAAAATGTTAAATTCATTTAAGTGCTATTTTGGTTTTAAAACTGAAATGTTAAAATAAATATTTTCTTAAACAATATATGACGTTTTTTTAAAAAATCAATCTTTCAAAAAAACTTCTTAAAAGATTAAAAAACTTCAAAAGTTAATACAGAAGACAACTGTTGTTTTTTAGCTATAACCGCATTTTATCAAAGACAAAACTACTAAGAGTTACAACCATTAGCTTTTATTACACTACAATGCATTTTGGGTGCAAAAATTTGTTACACATGCACCCCTCTTCAGGAAATACATAACTACAATAGGGAAACATATATTTGTTACAAAATTATTACAAATTATAGCATTTTAAACCTTTAAAGTTTTTTAATCTTTTAAGAAGTTTTTTAAAAGATTGATTTAAAAAAAAAAATATATATAATATATATATGTATCAAAATAACAAATTATTTAAGTAAATTCTATTTAGTCTGACATCTTTCTCTAAAACAGTTTATTAATTTGACATTTCTAATAAGTTGGAAAATATTAAATGAATCCTGAATGATTTTAGAATATTTTTCCATTAAAAAATGTGTGTGTGTGTATAGCAATATGTTTTTAACTGACATTGTTTTACTAAAAGTGTAAAATATTATTTTGAACCATAAAAAAAGCCTAGATCTGTTTGTATTAGATGTCCATGAATTGTAATTGTGCATAATCAAAACGATAAGATTAGGAGAATTACTGTTTGATGCATTTCATTCCAATATAATCAAGGTTAAACTAATTCTATTGTTTTTAAAAGCTCACATTTTTTACAATACTTAAATTTACCTAATAAAAACATTTACTTTCAAGTGTTTTTATACTTTTATTAGCAGTTTATTGGTGATAAATGTTTTCAGTAGCTTAATTATAATGAATGACCTTAATTTAAGTTTTGTTATCTGTCAATAAATTTGATAAGTTATAAATATATGATATATAATCAAAATCCAGTCACATATTTAAGTGTTTATTTTTTATATTAATCACGTTATTGTAGCGTATATTTTTATAATATTTAAATTGTTGTAATTATTTAATTTTATCGCATTAATAATTACTTAATATTTTCCTAGGGTGCATAGTTTTGTATGTGATACAAGAGAAAGAGTGTCTTTAAGTCAAAGAAGAAGGCAATTATTGCAACAAAGAGTCCATTCTGTTAGCAATAGTATAGAAAATGTTGGTAGGTACAATATTTAAATATAGATCTTGATTTTTAATCTTTATCTACGCTGTAAAATAACTGGTTTTAATAATGATTTTACATATATGTATATTAATTTTTAGTTCAAATTAGAAGTAGATTGGAAGAATGTTCCAATATAGAGGTTCTTAAAAGTCCCATTGATAAGAAAATATATAATGAAAGGTAATTACAGAAATATCCAATCATATTTTACATAATGTATCTAATAATGAATTTTTACAGAGTGATATTAGTGTCTTCCAAGAGAGTGCCCTTTGTGGTATTTTCATCTCTTCCTTATAATAGCAAAAGTTCTTCTAAGTAAGTACAGTATACTGATTTTCATAATTCAAAAGATTATAGTGTTTTTTAACAAAGTATTTTAGATTTAAATATAAGAATACTAAAAATAATTTGTTAAACAAGCTTATTAAATAAAACTACACTAGACAAAATATTTTAATAACTTTTATTCACTTAAAATCAAACAATGAGAAATTCTTTTATTCATTGAAACAATTTGTAATATTTCTGAATCATTACTATTGATAATTTTAACCTATATATTATTACTGTTTTCATAAAACAATAATTGTACAATGTAAAATTATCATTCATATGTAGATAATAATAATCTGATAATAAGCTAACAAAAAATGTTCTAATATAGTAATTTTTAGTTGGTGAATTTGTAAACCACACAGTTATAACAGAGAAATTCTCCCTGTAACCTAACTCAGCTTTCTTTGATGTAAATAGAGATCATAAACACGCAACCATTAATAAAGATACAGTTTTAAGTGAACAAAACTCATTCAAGGAATTGCCATTCCTACTCATAGCAGTGTTGCTATTATTTTTCACAACTCTACCTATTTATTTAGGTGCTTTTACAGATATAAATTATTTAAATAGAACAATATTTTATCCAAAGAAACTCATTTTTTGCATTTTTCTTCAAATTCCAACACTGTCGCTTTATGTTGATTTCATATACAGTAAAAACTGCTTAGGCAACCATCTGCATTCAATGGGCACCTGTCAAAATGGGCAAAAATTTTTGGCATGGAATAGTTTAGACAGAGAGTCTTTATATAAGTTATACAAATATACACCCACAACTGCCATAAATGATTGGGCTAAATTTGGATATAATGATTATAAATTAGAAATGAATTTGGCACTAGAGTGAGGCATTAGACGGCATCTCATATTAAAATTAATAATTTATAATATTTGAATTAATTTAGATTAAATATTAATTTTAATATGAGATGGCACCTAATGCCTCACTCTAATGCCAAATTCATTTCTAATTTATAATCATTATATTTAAATTTAGCCCAATCATTTACAGTGTTGTAGGTGTATGTTTGCTTTGTATAAGTTATCTGTATTAAATGACCACCTGTGTAACAGGACTGCAGGCATCTATTTTTGGTCAGAAACAACATACAACAACTGTAATAAGCAACCACTTCCGCGAATATATCTGGTCTAAACTATTGTTCAAAACCATCTCAACAACATTTCCCCCTCCTAATATAATGAATTAGTCTAAACTCTTGTTCAAACCCACCTCAGGCACTTCTCCCACCCTTGAAATTAGGTGCAGGTGTTAATGAATTAGTCTAGCAACAAAGGAAATTCATTTTAGTTTGTTCAAAAAATGTCCAAAAAACGAAAGAAATGAGAAGTGCTGTTGTTAGAAGATCACATTAAAGTTATCAGAAAAAGTGAAAATGGTTTATTACCATTGCAATTAGTGCTGAAGTTTAACTGTGGGAAAACACAATTTATTTTACCATAGACCTACAGTATTTTCCTTAGGGATATAAAAATATTGTACACAATACAATTACAGTAGAGCATCAATTATCTGAAGAAATTCAGGACTGGGGTTGTTTGGATAACTGATCATGTATGAAAAAATATATTAACCTATCCCCTGTTGAAATTTTTCTCTGTTGTGTCTCTCTTCACATTGGATTTTTGTTGATGTTAAGTCTAATGAAAATTTTTTTAAATAATAATGCTGGCTATTGTATCGTTAAAATTTATTTCTTTATTTTGCACAAACAAAACAAATATATTAAAAAATAACTTCTGAAATATAATTTTTTTTGTTTTTGTTTTTATAATCTAGTATCAAAAATGTTTTGATTCAGCACAACACACAATCCTCAGAAAAACACCACAAAAGTGACAGTGCTGCCAGCTAAAACACACACAAACATAAAAAATATTGGAGTAGCCCAAGATATAGCCAAAGATTGCAGTGCCACAGCATTAGTGAAAATTTAAATTTGCCGACTGGAATTCTTTCGGATAACTGACATTTCGGTTAACCGACTTTCGGATAAACAACGCTCTACTGTATTTCAACAAGCCTCCAAGTTAAAAACATCCATACATGGGGAATATATTAGACAGCTCAAAATTTTCAAGGCAAACAGAACAGGAAATTATGTTAACAAGGATGAAAGAGCAATCTTGAAAGCACGGTAGGCTTGCTTTGACAGTTCCTTATGAACTGCCCATCCATGCATTATGCAATGCATAGATAGGCATTGCCTATGCAAAATTTGTAGTAAAATAAATGCAAATTTGTAATAAAATAANAAGCCTAACGAAGACTATTGTATCGTTAAAAATTATTTTTTTATTTTATACAAACAAAATAAATATATTGAAAAATATAAAAACAATAAAAAATTATACTTCAGAAGTTAATTTAGTATCAAAAACGTAAAATATTTGAGTAACCCAAGAAATAGCCGAAGATTGCAGCGCCACAGCACTAGCGAAAATTTAAATTTGCCGACTGGAATGCTTTCGGATAACAGACGTTTCGGATAACCAGCTTTCGTATAAACGACACTCTACTGTATTGGAGTAGCCCAAGACATAGTCAAATATTGCAGCACCACCTGCAGAAAGAAATTTCTGCTAGTGCTGTGGTGCTGCAATATCCTCATAATTAATCAAAAAAATTTTTTGCAGACTTGTATAATAATTGATATAATTAATACAATTATTGCACCCCTCCTCCCCTGCAGTTGAGAGGAAGTGCAGAGGAAACTTGACATAAACAACTAATGACTTTTAACCTGGGGCAGCTAGAAGCTTTGAGTTTGTTATGTTTGAAAGAAAACAGATGTTACTATGTTTAGAAACGATGGAAATGAATTGGCATCTTTGATGTTGGAGGCACCAGATTTCGTGACTTCACAGTTACCTCTTCATCACAGTGTTACCACGTTTAATTTGGTTAGCCAATAGTAGCAATGTTCGATACAGGCATGCGCTCCCAGTTACACTACCCAGATCTCAGTGTGATTCCGAATATATGCTCTCCATCTCAAATTAGTAATGGCTTGCCCCTTACATCATACTTATTTTGTTAACAATAATGTCATCTATCTAACACCTTTCGGGGAAACTTTTTTGAATTGAAATAATGTGACTTCCGGTTTACACCAGAAAATCATATATAGTTAATTGGGGTCTTTTGCCCCTAAGCTTTCAGTATCTGATATTGGCTTTCATCCATCTAACTTTGTTCTCCAGATTAATTAATTAAGGAAGGACAACAGTGGAAATTTATAGGTCTACAATATTTTTCAAATTGCAGCCCACAAATACATTTTGAAAAAGCCAACTTCAATTAAATCAAATTTATAATTGTTATTATTGAAAGTACTATAAGTCCAACGATATTATTAATTACTAGAAATTTTCCTGTCAAGCATGACAGAATATTTTTTATGAGAAAGTAGAGATCGAAGAATTGAGAAGAGCTTCAAGTTGAGCTTGATGTTATGATACTGTTTCTGCAGCCCTCGACTAAGCCATTCTTACTTGATATTGCTCGAGTTGAACTTCAAGACCTTCAGGGGTCTCAGTTGTTCTTATTCTTTTAGATCTAGAAGTTACATTTTATTCTTGTGATTTCCTCTAGGCATTTTTTTTTTCAACAAAATAGTCTTTTTAATTCCATGTTGATAAAACAAATATGAAATGTATGTATGTTAATTAGATGAGCGATAATACTTTCTAAATAACAGGCTTGTTAGATTGTTACTTCCAATTGGATAATAGAATGTCGTGGTCACTATAGAAAGTTTTTTTTAAGAAGTGACCAGATGTGGCTATCATTTTTAAAGTTTAAATTTAATGAAGATTAAAATATGTCATTTGCCAAAATATTTAAAAAGTAACTTCAGGGAAATTTCCTTTTTGAGCATGAACGTTATGTGATCACTGACGTCACTGCAACATATGTGCAATCACCAATCTGAAATCAATAGAACGTTTATTCTATAGCTAATATTTCTGTAAAATAAGTAGCTGTATACTTTCCATTAGTACATAAAACAAATATAACTAAAATTTCATCTGGATTGGACAAAAATTGCAGGAGTTATAAGGAATTCACACACAGATGATGGCTTTTATATTAGTATTTATTATATAATAAAATTTAACAAGTTTATAGTTATTCAAATAATTATGACCATATAAATAATTTTGGGTCATTTTAAAGTCTTTATCCTTTTTCAACATTCCAACCAGATATAGGTAATTAATTAAATGAAGATACAAATAGTTCTTTGTAAAAAAACCAACAATATAATATTAAAAAAACCACATGTCAAATATATGTGTGTATGTCAACCTTTTCAAATGCAAATCCTTAACTATCACAATGTATGAATAAATGGATTTATTCCATTTTCATTTATAATGGCTCAGATATTAAATAATGAGTGGTATGTGAGATTGCTTGATGGCAGTTAAAGTTTTAAGTAAATGTTGGGACCAGGACTAGTGTAAAGAATGTATAGTATTCCCCATATTGTAATGATTAAATACTGTATATTACAACAGTTACATGTTAAAAGAAATTATGCAAGTGTTAAATAAAAAAAATCACAAAAAATTTTATTTTTATTCTGTATCCAGTGATAGTAGGTGTCATCCTGTTTTTTACCAGTTTATGCCATCTGGGATTGTACATAATTCTATCAATATTAAATAAAAAACAATTTTTTCATTATTGTTAATTTTATAATCTTAACAAGAAATCTTTTAACAAAAAATCCTTTTAAAAACTAACATATAATAATAACATTTCAGGCTTCAAGCAGATAGGTCTCTTTTGAGACCTCTTAAAGTAATTTAATACAAAACTAAGATTGATCAATGTTTTAAGAATAATGACAAATTTATTTTACATAATCATTAATAAATCTTTATTTATACTGCTTACCTAAAACCTAAAGCTAAGTTATTTAAGTTAGTCAATAATCATTTTCTGA